ACATTTTTATTGGAGTAAATATTCAGATTGTCGTTTAGATAACAAAACAGTTCTTGCCTTTTCTCAGTTATATCTATCTTGAAATAACAGGTACCAATGTTGAACATGTCGTTTCATCATCGGTTGTAAATCAGCAATAGTAGTAACCAGTGACGAATTTTGAAAAGGAGTCAGGTGGAGAACAGATATGCCTGCTTTGTGTTTCCGTTTAACCATAAGATATCTGACCAATCCCAGAAAGATATAGCCGAACAGACATCCAGCAATCAGTTTATTCAATATTGGTTTCAGAAATGTTTTTAAACTTTAGGAAATACATATGTATACGGCAACATGGTTCATCACGATTTTTATTACTTCATTAAAATTGAAAATGTTCTGTCTAGTAACGGAACGAAGAAACTTTGTACACTTAAAAAAAAATCAGAGAATTTGGTACAAGATATGACATAGTAATACATTGAAGAAATGGAGAAACTTTGTACACTTAAAAAACATGAGAGAATTTGGTACAAGATGAGACATATTCCTTTGCGTATGAATATATAGATTAAACAGTCAAAACACACAGTTTTTTTTCACTAAGATACTTATACTAAATATGATGAAAATGAATTTATTTTATAGTTTCCGCAATTAGAGAAATCAGCGGAATGCGTTATTAATAAAACTGTTTTGTCTGAAGTCATCGGTCAGCTTGTTTGTGTGTGTAATATCTTATACATTTTATCTTATATATAGAATATATTTTGAAATTTTGAAAATTGATGAAGTTGACAGCAGAAACATTCGAATTGTTGGGCTACACCGTTTGTAAAACTCTGTGTAAGTCCACCGGTAGTCCGTTATAATACGTTTTCTAAATACAAAAATCACACACAAAAAAGAATAAACAATGCGAGTTAATGTGACTTCACAAAGCAGTGATGTCGACATAGATACGTGTTTGTTGACCGCCGTGAGATAGATGACAAGGGTAGATCTACGTGTTTAGTGGGCCAGCAAGGCACCAGATATAGCACCCGATGCAGGCTATTGTGCGTGTGCACTGATTGAAATTTTAAAGGGAAAAAATTACGAATCTTTTGTGTTTATAAACGAGAACTTTAATCACGATAATTTGGTTAAATAAAGACGAACTAAAACAGGCATGGGCTGTGTTATCATCCTAGACAAAAGGACGGAGCGAGATAAAGAATTGAACATTAACACCTAGGATAATCAGGTGTCAACTAACACAGGGCGGAAGATAGCATTGTGTCTTTCCGCAGACAAACAACTTAACGCCGGAACACTTGTAACTTTGGGCGGTACCATGTAAAAGTACACATTATCACCCTTCTGTACACATCAATAAACATTACATCAGAATTAATTCAGAAAAAATGAATACATAATAAATTTAATTATAGATTCTGTATCGCTTTTCCTGCCATGTTGGTGGTATTGGTGGTTCAATAAATACGATAATGCATGTACTAACATAGAGTTAATTTTTTTTTACCAGTATTGGAAAATGTCTTTATGTGTCTCATCTAAACGAAAAATAAAATAACTTTTGTTGTGATTAACACCATAACATTAATCTTTAGCATAAAATGAAAGTAATGAAATTCGTTTAATTTTTTCGAATGGCAAATCACAAAGGCACCAAATACAAATACATTACAAAGTCATAGAATAAATTAGATGTAAATAAATTAACAACACGAAATCAATGACTATATAAGTAAAAATAATATATTGTATGATGGATTTCGTTATATTTGTTTACACTTTCACTTATCAGTAGAGTTAAAGGTGAAAAGTGGATGATTTTTTATCAATATTGACGCAGCTTAATTTCTTGTTTTTTGTTTGGTTTTTTTTTTTGGCTAATTTTTTGTTTTGTTTTGGTTTTGTTTTTTGTGAGTTTTACTCTTTTTTTGTTTTTTTTACAAAGACCACATGTCATTGATATATCGGGAAGTAAGAGAGAATAATATATACTGATCTTGAAAGAGATTTTTTATTTGTTTGTTGTGTACGTAAACACTTTTATAGACAATCTTTCAGTCGAACTCAGTGTGTTACCTCCGAACTACATAATCACGTAATTCTTATTTGCAAAACCACATTCTCTGTAAAAATAATTCTGGGTTTTGTTGAGCTTCAAACTATTTAACAAATATGCATGTTGTACCGCTTCTTGTTGATAGCAATGTACACATGAAACGTTTAACATAAAACATATTTTTAGTAAGTTAGGAGTCGCAAAATTTGAATAGTCATGATGTAGTCAGCATTAATAAGACACACACTTTTGTGTTTATTTATCCAATTATATTCTGTGAGAAATTATTGGGAAGCTTGCCCAGCCAATCGAAAGCGATGTAACATTTCATGACGTCATTTATAAAAAAAAATCATGTTATACCGACATAATTTTTTTCCAAAATGCACGTTACTTTTTAAAGCAAGACATGATTTTCTTTACATAAACATAAAATAAGAATATCTAGGGCGTGTGTAGATACTAATTCCAGGTCAGCTGTTGTAACTTTTGTCCTTTTCAACATTTACATACATACCAATGAATTCAATGTGAAAGATTTTGACCCAAATAACAAATAAATAGATACTGACTTGTTACAACAAGTCAACACTACAGGTCCAATATCGAAAAATTGTTTTCTTTGTAGACATGTTTTGGAGTCTTAGATTCTTTCTCACTTTAAAACAAACTGTTAAACTTTTGTCGTACTTGCTTTGAAAGAGGAAAAACACAGTTCCTAATTTTTGAAAGATTGAATACAAAGTTACTGATTTTTGAAAGATGTAAATACACAGTAACTGAGCGCGACATGAATACGATGACGTCATAGATACTAATTTGCCATAAGTAATTATATATAAATATTTTTCCCTTTCTTATGAACACATCGTAAAAGACTGATCAAATATACAGTTTAAACGTCGTCATACAAATTTAGCAGTTTTCGAAAACTGACAAGTCTTTTTAAGTTTAATTGTTAGTATTTGGTCATTGTATAAATCTATAAATAATTGATGACGTCAGTACACTAGTACACTACAAACACTGTACGATGTGTTGTATTTGAAATAAAATTAAAAGCAGACACACATTATATTATCATGATTTTAATTTTTATAAAAAGATGAGACATCATAACGTGAATAACATGTTTTGAGTTTTCTTAAACTGGTCGTGTATGTTTGCATGATGAAGCTGTTATGTGACTATCAAACAAGCTTGATTTTTCGTAAGTCACATTTTTTTCTAACTCCCCGTTTAAAAAATGCTATGAAGTAATAATATTGGTTTATAAAGGATATACATGTGTATTGTAAAATAAACAAAGCATATTTTAAGGGCAAATCTAATTGAACAGTATGACCTGCATTTTCGATAATGTTCGTGAAATTTTCGGCTATTATCATGTTGGTTCATATATGCAAGTTCAAGCTAGGCAGGAAATGTTCGGTTATTATCATGCTGGTTCATATATGCAAGTTCAAGCTGGGCAGGAATTTTTCGGATATTATCATGCTGGTTCATAAACGAGTTCCAACAGTTCGTGAAATTTTGCTGGTTGTTAAAGATATAAATTTAACATGTACCTTCCGTAAAAATATATTGTGCGTTTTTTGCAAACACGTGTGAAGTATTTGATTCCTATGGTGTGGTTATAAACTATTCGTCTTCGACACAATTTCTGTTTTGTACGATTCCGGCGATAGTCGTTATTGTACTATCGGGTGAACTTTCACACTAATCTAATGATCGGAGCCACCTCGCCAAGGCCTATAACAAAGACAGACAATGTCATGACTATTAGGAAGTTCTGTAACGAGTCACCTTAATGTAACACTTGAAAACATTTACTTTGTATGATGGCGCCGTTTTAACCAAAACCACTGGACTATATAAAGTGTTGAGGGACTTGTGATCGCTATCTCGCCGCACTTCCACTAAGTTGAGGAGAGTCCAGGTAATACAACACCTCCCCTCTCTGTGATAACACTCATACGAGAAACACAAGCATTTGTTATGTTTTAAACACAAATGGACTCTACTGTGTATGAATGACAAATCTAAGAGAGTACTCGCGAGATTAATATATACTGATAATATTATGACCGTTTTGAAAGAAGCAGATAAATACATGTATTTGCAACATAGAAAAAAAAACCCAGAAAAACCGATGAAATATTAAATATAGACATTAAGTTAACAAAAGTCATATCTTTATTCCGTTTCTGTTAAATTCATACTTGTGTATGTAACGTGAGTTTCTGTATCTGTTACGGATTGAATTCTAGATGCACTGCTATGCTAATCAAAGAGGTAAGATAGCTGTTCTAGACTTATAAAGATTGAATCAATCCGCTCATTAAATGATAGCTGCCAAAGGATGTATTTGAGGTTGGAAAAAACAACAGTGGGAAAAACAAAACTAATGTCACAAGTCTACGCTAATACCGGACTCGATTTCGTAAAAACGAACCTGGAAGTTTGGAAAATGAGGAAAAATATGGACATATCAGTAGGTAAATGCAAAATTGACGCCAACAAGTTTCAAGTCCAGGAGTGAAGTTAATATTATCAAGCTTAAGAACGATGTTACGATATTTTTTGGCCTTATTTGTAAACTTTTAAAATAGGTTATATCTGGTGTCATGATAATTCTGAATGACAGAAGAAATACACAAACGATAAAACACCATGATTCTTTTAAAAATATTTATTACAAACATTAACTTCTTATCATAAATAACAAAACAAGTAACAAAACATCTCTCGTTCACCATACCACCACATGTTATGACCGATATGAACTACAGCTAGGTACCTCCCGATCAACGTCAGTACCCGTGACACAGGAACACAGGCTGTAGTCTAAAGACAATGTGATAATTTGGTTAGAAAAACGATTTTAACAACTAATTTGGACCAGTAAGTCACTTTCAGTGTGTTCATGTGTAATATTTGTGATCTCCTAAAGAAAAACGGGAGGCATCAATGGCCTTGTTGGTAGTACAGGCTGTGATAAGTGGTTTGTATGTTGTAGATAAAGTCCATTGGGAATAAAAGGCGCTGCCGGTTCGCTGTAACCAGACCAATAGGGGTTTGTCACCATCATCCTCTGAACACTGGCGAAATTCCCAGCCTCGGCTAAAAGTTCTAATCCAACAGCGGTCTGTCGTTTCCATTTAGTTCTGAAACAAAATATGTTGTCGTTAATTCTATATCAATCGATTGGTTGTCATGTCTTATATATCATGTTGTGTATCGGTATTTAATCATCAAGCCAAATATGGAACATAGTCTTGTAGACAAACGGAAGCAACACCTGACTGGTACACAAGCTCAATTACCATTAGATACGTCATATATCACAATTAAATGGTGAGGTTGTTTCTTTACAAACGGTGAATTTGAAGCATCATATTAACGCTTAAAAGCTACTTCGATTACTGCACGTAGTTGGCTAATATATAATTGACGATCAACATAATCATATCCATTTCTCTGTTTTGGTTGAATAACTAAAACATTTGTGCACGTGGCTTGAAATAGCTTCAATGAACAACTATTTGATATTTGACTAGCTTGTGTGCCGCTGCATATTCAATATTCATGATCGATGGCATTCTCAGGCACAAAATGGCTACACGGAAATAATTCATGAGGGCAATTTATTTATCATAAACAACGAGAAAAGCTTGACACGAATCTAATTCCCGATAATGTGATTGAGAATATCGATTTTCTAAATAGGATTCGGCGTGAAAATATCATTATTGATATATACTCCAGATAACTGTAAAAATGACAAAATTACACTGCTTTAATATTTAATTTGACGCGTACCAGTGCTAGATACTAATTCTATGTCTCCATTGTAAATTATTTAAGCAGTGCATTTGTGCCATCGACAATCCTGAAATCCTGAAAACAGAAGTCCGTTACTGTTAATTGCGTTTCCTAATGCAATGCCTACCTCCTATTCTGGTACCAGGTCTTCACTTGCGTGTCAGTCAGGTTGAGTTTTGCCGCGAGCTCCATTCTGTCCTGGACGCTAAGATATTTTTGACGTTCGAATATTTTTTCTAAACTGTTTAATTGATGGTCTGTGAAGGCGGTCCTTGCTTTTCTTGGTTTTTTCACTTTTGAGCTGTACGTTGTATGGTCGTGATGACCTATTAATCTATCTCCATATCCTAAAATAAAAACACAGTGAGTTTTAACACATGACATGGCTTATATGGGAAGTAACGTGTTATTGTTTCTATAACGTTTGTGTGAAATTTTCTTTACTCTAAACAATTAAAAACAATATCCTTTCTATTAGCTTGTACAATAACAGCAATTTTTTGCCCAAAGTAAATATTAAAAATGGTAATTTTGTTTGCGATGTTGAATGTTGAGTGACTGACATACCTTCTTGAGGCGAATCTAATGATTCCTTGCTACTGTACATAGAATCTCCACTGACGGACGGCACTCGTTGGTCAGTTGGACTAATAACACTAGTTAATCCAGGACTGCTGTCTTTATTGTAACGTGAATCAGATAGAATGTCTGTGATGAGGAAGGAAGGTCGTTGTGCCGACTTGGGTTTGTCTGGGGATGAGCCACAATCCCGACAACTATCTCCTGAAAGCATTGTTTGTATAGAGTGGGATGTGTTGTGTGTTTCCTCGTCGTCATCGATATTGATGTCTTCATCAGTGTCCGAATAGTTCCGCTCTTCACTCATTGTTTTCATTACTACAAACTCGGCAAAGCCTCCGCACGCACTTTTCTACCCTATGTAACAGAAAACGTTGAAACTACCCGCAACAAATACGTGTTGGTTTAGATGTAGTACTTGTTGATTTCGCTGTGATATTAAACAATACAAGATATTGTAAGAATATCTAATATATAGGTTTGCTAACATATAACTCCATTCCTGAGAAATGTCTCTCTATTACTTATCATGAACATTTAAACAGACACATTAACAGTCACCTTACAACTACTTCACATCACCCAATGTACTAGTATATTAATATTACCACATTTAACTTAGGCACTGATCAGCCAATCACAGCGGAGGGGGCGTGTCGTAACGACAGGTGTCGCTTAAAAGCCGTATGTTTAGATACGGTGTGTGACAGTAAGCTGGATGGCTGGACGGTTTTACTATAGAAAACAATATCGGGGCCTAATTACATACCTCAGTACAGTTGAAACAGAAGTTCAAAAGTCGAATCCTTTTCCTGGACGGGTGGGTTGGCGACATATATACAAATACCGCAATTTGATAGCTGGGTGGTGATATAAATCTCCTGACTCTACGCATTACTCTGACAGGAAACATGTTAGGTATTTAAGTCACATGACTTCCACGTTTTACATGTCCCTTTTTTCTTTTTCACTTTAAGGTAAGGTTTTAGGATCACGCTTATTGGTAGATTTCATGAATAAATAAACAATCTGAAAATGAAGATACAATCTTTCTATTTATATCCACATGTATTATATATCACACCTACTTAATGCATACCAATAATGTATTGAGAAAAGCAGTCGCGATACTGATCATACTTTTCCCTATTCCTTGTGCCTATAATGGAACAACACATTGCGTACTGATACATTGGTCAATAATAAACTTATTGAAATGATACAATGATTTATAAAGTTATCGTCCCTGTTAACTTATTATGAACATTTTATCGTTTCTGTCAATGCTTTGGTGTAATCCACACACTATTGGTTTGATGTAATCCCCACACTATTGGTTTGATGTAATCCCCACGCTATTGGTTTGATGTAATCCCCACGCTATTGGTTTGATGTAATCCCCACGCTATTGGTTTGATGTAATCCCCACGCTATTGGTTTGATGTAATCCCCACACTATTGGTTTGATGTAATCCCCACGCTATTGGTTTGATGTAATCCCCACGCTATTGGTTTGATGTAATCCCCACGCTATTGGTTTGATGTAATCCCCTCACTATTTGTTTGATGTAATCCCCACACTATTGGTTTGATGTAATCCCCGCACTATTGGTTTGATGTAATCCCAACACTATTGGTTTGATGTAATCCCCGCACTATTTGTTTGATGTAATCCCCACACTATTGGTTTGATGTAATCCCCACACTATTGGTTTGATGTAATCCCTACACTATTGGTTTGATGTTATCCCCACACTATTGGTGACTTTATGGTTAGATGTAATCTTTATGGCATGTCATCCGCCATGTATATCTAAGTCAATCCATGCAAGTAATGTCACGTTCTCAAATGAGAACAATGTTAACAACCGAGGACCCATTCATGTTATATATTAATTGTAGAAGATATTTCCGACATCCACGATCTATCTATCGTTATTACACCCAAATTAGTACAAAATGATAAATAAATATATTCCATATGACATAAAACATCACGTGAATATAATTTGGCTGTGTTCCTACATTCCATATTACATGAAACATCACGTGAATATAATTTACCTGTTTCTTCATTCAATATTCACGAAACATCACGTGAATATAATTTGCCTGTGTTTCTACATTCCATATTCACGAAACATCACGTGAATATAATTTGCCTGTTTCTACATTCCATATTCACGAAACATCACGTGAATATAATTTGCCTGTGTTTCTACATTCCATATTACATGAAACTTCAAGTGAATTTATTTTGCCTATATTTCTAAATTTCACTGGAGATAATTTATGTTACTTGATCATTTTCAGAAATTTACCTGTGATGCAACGATTTGCGATTTTTCGATCTACCTTATTTATTTCTGTATATTTCGTTACGGGGCGTTTTAGTTCATTTCATCGCATTTATTTCACCGTTGTGGGTAGTTGTTCAAAGTCCTATCACCCTCACCTCTACACATGACAACCTTATATTTTGATGTGTTGCAATCTCCTGTGGTATAATATCCATCTTTTCCATTTTTAACACATCTTTGGTAAAACCTGCAAGTGTTTCGATCACATCTATATTAGCAGTCATTTTCTAAAAGCTCTCAATAAATGTGCACATATTTACTATTTATAGATTCAACTGTACTTACCTTCATTGATGGAATAAGTCTTTATTAGTTGCAAGTCATTCTTAGAATCACTGACGGTAATTAATGACCATTAGAAAAAACACTTCAGTAGTTTATCAACCCCCATGTCACAGCATATTGGTATCATATGGAAAATAAATCCCAACATTTATCCAGAAAAAAAGGCATTGTACAAACACATAACGTCCTAATGCGTTTAAAAACAATTGTGAAACAACAGAAAACACTATAAAGAATTCAGAGTATCATTTCACAAGAAGTAAAATGACCTCCGTCCGTATAAAATGTCCATCGATATGATATCATTCTGACGACAATTTTATCAAATGAGTAAACGAAACTATTCCGGATCTAAAAGACATAACCGTCTCTACGGTGAAATAACTTATACAAGGGTTCAGTTTATGTTGTTTTTAAAGAGAAATTAATTGGAAAAGGGGACAAAAACACCCAAAACAATATCACCTCCCGTATGTAAACATGTTACGAAATAAACATAATGTTCACTTGGCGCCCTTGTCATCTTGAATTTATCAAAATCGTTCTATAATTAGATACGACAAAGTCAATTGCATATAAAATTATAAAAAGTCGTTTTGTTAAGTAAATATGACATGAACACCAATATATTGTCTTCACCAAATTTTGTATGTGATTTCAATTAATATAATTACACACATGTAAACAAGCCCTGAAAACACAGACTGAATAGTGTTTAATATTGTCTTATGTTGAGGTCGAAGTCGTGGTATGTTCATGTTCATAAGTGTCAATTTGTTCATTGCTTTGTTTGAACGAATTCACAAAGTTCTCATAATACGACGCATCGGTGCTGTTTCTAACGAAATACAAAGTATTTATGACACGAAGAAATTTGTGGTTTCTAACAAAATAGATATATTTAAAATGCGATCCTATTGGTGCGGTTTCTAACGAAATACAAACTACTTGTAACTACAAAATTTGTGGTTTCAAACAAAATGCAATATATTTAAAAACTATTTCATATATTACGACCTTATTGATGTGGCTTCTAATGAAATACAGTGTTTATCACAAAGGTGCAGAATTGACTTTGAGAAAAAAATATTTTGATTATCAAGCAACATTCTATCCGAAAGGTCTTTAGCTGTTGTGCCAGACAATTAATTCCTTAACAAATATACAAACTGAATATAAACAAGAGTCATTTGAAATATTTTGTTGTCTGGGAATTATTTTAAAAGCTCATGAATTGTTCAGACGTGCATCAATGGAAGTTATTGAGTTTGGTGATCACATACAGAATGTCTATTTATTGCGCTGTGTCACTGAGGACATGGGTCCCTTGTGGATCTGTTGTCATTAACATCGTAAATGAATCTAACTTACCAACACTAACGCTTAAATCAATGTATAGGGAATATTACTGAGGTGACTTAACAGGGATAATTGATTCGGGCAAACTTACTCGGCCATGATAAAGTACATTAATGACCTGACTTACCTGGCTATAATTGATCACGAGATAATCTTCTTGTAATCCCATCATCCCTAAAATTATCTTTCGCATCTGAATCCCTTGCCAGGAAATAGGCTACCTGTTGGGAATTCGTGTAAAACGTGTTACATTTACTCAACTGTCAGCAGGTAAGCCCAATATGGAGTTATTAAATATAAAATTTACTGTCGACCATTTTCTATTAGCTCGTTATTCCTAAACGCTGTTTCAGATAAACTTTTAAATGCTTCAGTGATTTCATAAATACCCGGTCGACGTGTGTACGCGAATCATAAAATTTTCACCGTTTCGCTATCAAAGGTAAAATGATTATGAAAGCAATCCATTCATCCGTGCGATATTTCAATTTCCTTTTATTGTAGAATAGGAGACGAAGCGTAGTGAGTGCAGTTGACACATCGTTCTCATTAAGTCCTACCTCGCTGCTACAACGATTTTCTTTTGATTTCGATAAATGCCATTTATTGGTCAATTAAAAATTAACTAGCACCGGTGAAAGAGCAATTGTAATAAAGGCTACGGACACTATCAAGGAAAATGAATCTTAACTTGGAACAACACTGATGGGGGTATCGAGTCCGATATCGCGTAATGGATATAACGACGATTATTAGAAATTTTGAAAAGATAAATTTGCTGTTATTGTTATGAGCTCCAGTAGAAATGACTGGTGTGTCGTGACACATCTAGTCTCATGTGAATTCCAAAGGTACGTGACGTTTCATGTTAAGCTTTTTATCAGTGTGAACTCAGTGAACCATCTTGATTGAAATATCTTTATTGTTTGATGCAATACAATACTATACCCTCAGACGCAGGATTTGTTTCTAATTATATTTTACATCTTTAAATGATGTATTTCCACTGTTACAAGAGAACATACTAAACAAAAACAATATATGTATTTCCTATATATTTACACCAAAGTCGATATGTATATATATAGTTCTGATTGATCTCATTTCCGTGATTAATATTGATCAAGTTAAACTTTCACCTGTACATTTACGTTTCTTTTTTTACCTTTTGAAAGCCTTCCAATAATAGGAAATCGATCGGAATCCATAGCTTCAAAGGGATATCAATTCACGTGTGAAATACCCAGTAGGGAGATCATTATAGGGAGAAAATTTCAAGAGAGAAATCGTCTTAAGTAGGTGTTTTTGTTTT